GGACGTCCTCACTAATGAATCCTGCGTAGCCTTCCTTGGGCAACAAACAAAACGCCAAAACCGCCCAGGTCTGCATCGTGCCTAGTGCGGGAGGAGGAGGAGGAGGAGGAGGAGGAGGAGGAGGACGAGGAGGAGGAGGAGGAGGAGGAGGGGCGAGGAGGAGGAGGAGGAGGAGGAGGAGGAGGAGGAGGGGAGAGCAAAAGGGAGGAGGCGAAGGAGGAGGAGGAGGAAAGGAGGGAGGAGGAGGCGGAGGAGGAGCCCAAGAGGGCCGCGACTGGCCCCACCAGGGCAATCCTAGAGGGCCGCGGCCCAGGGAGACCCGAGAGGCCCATGAGGGGGGGCCTCGAATCTCGATCGAGGGCAGAGGATCCTCGTGCCCTGCACGACGTCGGACGTCTGACATCCGACGCCGTGATTTGATTCGCAACATTGGGTCTGGACCCCATCCTGGCGAACGGTGCTTCATCTCGAGCGTTGCTTGACGGCCCCTGGACCTGGGAATTATCCGCCAGGCCCCCGGGCGCTCGCAGGCCCAGGTGCCCGACGCCGTGTTTTTTTGTAGCGTGGCCCTCTCGAGGTCTAAACCATGTCTTGTCGGGGAGCGTCTTTTCATCCAGAGCCGCTCTGTTGACGGCCCCGCTGGGCCCCGCAGGCACCCTAGACGGTGCACATGTCGAGGATCTCAATGCTCAGCGCCGGCTGGGCCCCAGAAGGGGCTCCCACAGAGGCCAGGAAATGCCGAAAACCGCCCGTCGTAATTTTTCAGCGGCGCGAGATGTTTGGGTCTGGGGGTCAACAGTCGACCCTGGACCTGATCTGGGCCCCTCCCTGGCAAGGATTTCAAGGCGGGTCTGGCCGTGGCGACGAGAAGCCCTCGAGAGGCCCAGACAAAGGCGAGCAAAAACATTGAACAAGTTGCCGAACTGAACCTCAGAGTTCGAAGGTGGCTCTTCGCAGCGCGAGGATGTCAGGGGTCAGGGGATCTAAGACCTCTAAACGGAGTCCGAATAGATGGAGTCGGTGGATCGCCCCGCATCGCCGATGCATCGGCGATGCGGCTCGATGCGGAGCCCGATTGTCTCTGCGCCTGCGTCGCCGATGCATCGCTGATGCATCGCCGATGCATCGCCGATGCGGGGCAATCCTCCGACCCCATGGATTCGGACCCGTGTAGGAGGCCTCCATGCCGTGACCCCCCATGACGTCCCCGCGCCGCGAAGAATCGCCTCCGAGCTCTGAGCCGCAGTTCTGGCAGCCTGTTCGATGCTTCGGTTCGCCTCTTCTGGGAGGCCTCTCGGGGGAGGGCTGCGGGTGCGCGCCCGCCGCGCGGGCGCGCCCGCCCCCCCCCCCTCAGCCCCAGCCAGGAGCGGCGGCAGCGGCTGGAGGACCCGCGCCGGGGCTTCTGGGCCCCCGACGGTGGGCCCCCGGCCCTGCGGGCATCCCGGCTCTCCCCTGGGGGGTCGAGCTTCGAGGTCGGTTTTTGTTCGCAGTCGAGTGTCTGATCAAGAGGCCTCCTGAAAAGCTGGGCCAGCGTTTCTTGACCAACTTGCTGGTAAGCTGGCCCAGTTTCTTAGACACCGTCGTCCCTCCAGCGTGAACGAATCAGGTGGCCCAGGTTTGTTCTCAGGCACCTCGAAGCTGGTCCAGGTTTCTTGGCTGATAATTTCCTGATCATAATTTCGACTGTACTTGAGCTGCTCGGATACGCCCGTGTGGAAACGCAACATGCACAGTGTTCCAAACTCCGTGTTGATACGTTGCGTGCTGGCTCGGCACCTGTTGGTCCACGTTTTGACGAGCGTATCGCGCCAGACCTACGTGGTCAGTCTTCGTGTTGTGCTCCGCGTCAACACGCGACGTGCTGCCTGCTGCGTATCGGGGCAGCTCAGGTTGTTACGTCTTTCGCCTTGTCTGTGCCTCTGGGGGGGTGCTGCTCGTCGCCGCGGCTGGAGCCGCGCCGAAGTCCTGGCCCGAACGCACCAGGAAGAGGTCCAGCGATCGGTTTGTGGACCCCCGCCGCCCAGACCAAGCCGCGCCTTGGAAAAGTCACGGCGGGCGGTGTGGGGCATCTGCCAGCCTCCCGGGGCCCTTTGCCAGGCCCCGTAACCGTTTGGGTAGTCGAAGGCCAGACTGTCAGACTGGATTGGGCCCCAAGGGCCAATCTGGCCTGGCCATATTGGAGGATTTGGGTTATTCGCCAGACTGGATTCGCGTTGGCTCCCTCGCCAGATTGCCCCCGTTTGCCAGATTGGGCCTGCCAGATTGGCTTCGACTACCCAGACCGTCATCAAGGCGGTTCGGGATGAAAACACGGTCCCCGGCAAGAGCGCCGCTTGAAAAGCACGATGTCGGACGTCTGGCCCTGCCAGCTTCCCGGGGCCTGGCTCCAGGACCCCCAGAGCCAGATCTCCTCGCGCAGTGGGGAAGTCATGACTGGAGGTCTCTCGTTTTTTCGGATTTGGGGTAAGTCGGGCCCGTCCCTCCACAGGAGGAATATTCA